TTCTTCTCTTTGTTATGTTGCTATCCAATTATAAAGCCCAGCATCAGGACCACGACTGGGGGACAAAGGCAAAATACCTGCCTCAGGTGCAAATACAAGAAAAGCTCAGTAATTCAGATGAATACTATTTTTAAAACATAAAAATCATGACAAAAAAGCCACAATTCAAAACATACCAATATTATAGATAAAGTCAGGTTAAGAAACATTACCATATGGAGCCCAAGGCAAAAGGGAAAAAAACAAATACTAATAATGATCCTGTTTTTAAAAATTATTATTATTTACATTTTTAAGCCTGTGGTGAGAGACTCATTGGCCTTGCCTAGTCCTGGCCCTGGTCCACTTCCACTTGATATATTTCCTGAAATAATCATTAGAATAATCTGGATTACTTCTGGCCCAGCATTTAGAATGTGTTATGGACAATAACAGCTAACTTGAAGTACTCTAGATGCATTAAACACTTCAACAGTTTTTAAAGGTTCTCAACTAAGCATTCAAAATGGGGTGTGTTCATACCCTATCTGATTACATGGGCCTTCAACATGAAACCAAACCCATCTTATCTAAACAGACACACAGAAACCACAGTGYTGATTATAATGTCATCATTTGAAACATGTACTGCACTTCTCATAGGAGCTTACAACAGTTGAGAAAAATCAGTGTAAGATAAACTATATAATAAATGGGTTCCAGCCAGACTTAAAATATGCTGGAAAACTATGGGGGGTAAGGGCAAGTGAACTGGTTCTGAATCTTTAAGTTAAATGTTTTKGGGGAAACATGCCAAAAAAAAATGACCCAAGATTCCAACTCACTCTGGAAAAGTCTGCTTTGATGTATCATCTTTACTGAAAGTGAAAGGACTAATATTTAGCCACTTAGGAATGCATGTAAAGAATCGGGTTATTTGCCATGCTTAAAAAATTTAAGAGACGTACTGGATGAGAGATGGTGAATGCAGGTCTTTCAGGGTCCACAGAGGACAGAAGACTTAGACTGTACCAGGAGGAAATTTAAAGTAAACTTGTCATCTGTCAGTCTCATCAGCCACACAGCATGGTAGGTAGGCTTTGGAGTCAGACCCAAGTRGAAAGTTCAGCTCCATTCTGTCCTTGTGGCCCTTTCTGTACCTGTTTCCTCAACTGTGAAATAAGCCCACTTTGCAGGGTCACAGTGAGAACGAGGTGGGACAGGATATGTAGAGTGATCGCCTGGCACAGATCTGACTCATGGGGTTCCTTGATTAAATTTTAGTTATCACCTTCAGCACCATCAGCTTCATTAAGTGTCTGAAGGTTATCTGGCCCTGACACAGATCAGGGTCGGAGGTTTTCAAAGAGAGGAGACAGAAAACAAACAAACAACAACAAACAAACAAACCCATAATTATTTATATCTGGTGTGACTGAAATAGAGTGTTTGAGCAGCCCAGATGCCCTGCTGGAGGCTGAGCCCATCCTGTGTGTCTGTCTTTTTGGTGCCAGGTACCAAAATGTGAACCTTTCATTCTTAGAAGAGTTCCAGGGAAAACATTTGAGAGAGATTTCTTTAAGAAGAGGCCCCTTCTTTGTCAACAAAAGAGCAGTTGATCACAGTCATGGTTACTATGTTCAGTCTTGCTCTTGACATTTCAAAAGATCCAGAAAAGAACTTCAAAAGTTCATCTGAAAGTGGATAGAAAGTGGGTGGTAGGAAGAAAGGTTACAAGAGAGTTCCTGAGAAGAGAGGGCCTGCCAGATTTCGGACCYGTGAGGAGTCAGGGTGCTGATGCTCCCCTGCTGACTTCCTCCTCCCTCCAACGGAAGGACTCTCTTCAGTGCTAGTTCTCAGCTGGATGGACAGCTTCCCTTCCTCAAGGAAAAGGGGCAACTAAGTGGGCTTCTGGGGTCTCCTCCGGTTCTAAGGCTCTGCACCAATATGGAAGAGCCAACGGAAACCCAGATTCCCAACGTGGCAYAGTTTCCAGCTTCATCCTCTTGAAAGTGGCAAGGTAGCTTGGCACAGTGAAAAGAGGTGGGAGTCTGGAGTCAGCAAGGGTGGGGTGGAAATCTGCCTCTGAGACTCATCACTGGTTAGGTTACATCAGTGAAAGGTCTCAACTCTTTGCTTCTTTGTAGCATGGAGATAATCTCTGCCTCCTAGATCTCCCGAAAGGAATACCTAAACTAATGTTGGCAAAGCTCCTAATATGTTGGCTGGCACATGGTAGGCTTTCCATAAATTGGAGCTATTATTTTAATTGGCTTAAAAAATGAGTTGAATAGTTGCCTTTAAATAAAGAAGATAGCAATGATATTCTGGTTACAGTTAGCCAGTTTTCAGACTTGGAAAACTGTAAATTCAGGTTGGTAGACTGCCTGCTACTGACCCCCCTTGACCACTCAGAAAACCAGAACCTGTCTATGCCAAAGAATGTATGAAGGGCAACAAACTAATTTYGTTTAAACTAAGAAGCAGAGGAAACTGAGGGCAAGGCCTGGGGCATCATGGGATGAATCTGGTTTCCCTCACTGTTACCACAAGAATCTAATTATTTTAAAAAGGTTCTAAATATCTTGGAATATATTCCACATACATGCCTCCAAATTTATGTCTGCTGCTCATCCCATTGACTTGTAATTCAAACCAAGTAGAGTAAAAACGTTAGTCCAAAGACAGGTTTGCAAATCCAACATCAGCTCTCTCACAGCAATCAAAAGAACTGGTCAAAGTTCTATACTGAATAAAAGAAACTTATGCTACCAGATTTTTCCATAAAATGTAACCTCTGGGTGCTACATTAATGTGGTATTACCTATTTACAATGTACAGAAAGATGATGGAGTCTGACAGTGGAGCTCTGACTTTTGTTCTTTACTAGGACTGGGGTCTATGGCAGGACACCTAGAGGCAGTGGAGGGTCAGCAAGGACAGAGGAAATACAAGGTAAAAACAAGCACACAAAATGAGGCCCCAAGTAGAACGTGGCCAGAAACACACATGGGGATGTTTCCTGAAGCCCCTCTGGGCCACTAGGAGAAGCAGAGTTGGCTCCAGGAGTACTTCCTGTTTCTATCAAAAGGGGAATGGGTTACAGTTAATGGAACCAAACATCACAGACAAGGGAGCAGAACAATGTACTTTGAACTGATGGAGCCACAGGAAAGAGCAGCTTGTTTTCATTGGGAGTGAAGAGACACAGGCATGACAGGCTGTAAAATGACTCCAGCTATGTCCAGGAGCTGGACGGGGCCCAGTGTAGAGCTGTGAGGGCCAGAGCACCATTAAACAAATCCTAAGCTGGCGTCTCACGGGAAGTGGAGCAGCCCTTCCATCACAAAACAAGTTTCACACGACAAGGCCACGCTGAAATTCATTGTTTTGAGTGCATACATTTCAAGTGGCTATCAACCCTGATCTGTTGAAATGATTGCTAMGAGTCTAAAACTAAATATCCCAGTCGGCTCATCTTCAGGCCAATCTTTGCATGACACTTTTATAGAAAAGGAGTTACCAAAAATCCTTAGACATCTACCTTACTTATCCTTACTTTGCTTAAAGACATCATTTTAAAATCATGCTTCCTTAGAACTGCAAATATGACAAACCTGACCACACAATATTTATAAGCAGCTTCATTTATTTTATTTTTTTATATGCAGGAAAATAAAAACCTGAACTKTCAACTAAGATAACCATCAAGAACATTATGAGAATAAGGAAAGAAAAAAAAAAACAAACAGAACATTCGAAGAGAAGAAAAGGATCTATAATGCTGGATATTAAGGTTAAAAATCCTTATTATAAAGGGGTCATTAAAACCATGTTTTACTTCCACATGTCCCATTCTGAGTCCCCATGAATAAACTGTTCTAAATCACAGGTTTTTTTCAGTGTGTGAGTTACTTCTCAGGAGTAGGGCAATCCCTTTTACTCAGTATTTTAGGCCATTTTGAAAAAAAAACAATAATTTTTTTTTTTTTTCAGAGAGCTACTGGATTGAAGAAATAGAGAAACTTTTCCAAAGGTTTATGTCATCACCAAGGTGCAATACACATGCTTGGAATTCTGTGAAGTAACATGGTGTTTGATGTTAAGAAGAGACAACTAAGATGTGACACCTAAATTCTAAGCTTAAAATGCAATGTGTTGATTTACAATTAAGGAGGGCTGGGGATGTAGCTCAGTGATAAGAGTACCTGTCTGGCATGTGCAAAGCCCTGGGTTCCATCTTCAGTACCAGCCCCACCCCTGTTTGGGTAAAAAAAAAAAAATCTCTACCTTATCTGCATTTTAATAGCTATGATCCATCCACAGAGAGATATTTCAAGTTATGGTAACAGACAGAAATTGCTAAATATTTTAAGGCATTTTGACTATGTTCCTACCCATGTCAGTGTCCTAGATTAATCTTTCCTTTACTGGATTTTTCCTTCTCCATTTTTTTTTTAAAGAAAAATAGACATTAGTGTTTCAGTTCATTTTGGAAACATGCCTTGTGAAGGACTTCAGAGATATTTTCCTTTCTTTTAAAAAATGACCTTCAAATAAAAATAAAGAGACTTTTCAGATAACACAAAGCCCAAAGCAAATAACATCAGACTCTGCTAATATGGTCATGAAAAGACCACAGAGACCTTCTGAAGTAGAGTAGCCAAGTGCTAAAATAGCTTGAAACACTTTCACAGATGTCAAATGAAGTGTCACTCAGAAAAACAGCCATCAAAGTAGCTCAAGGCTGGAGGATAAGACAGAATCCTCATCTAGTAAACTTCCAGGCCAACTAGCCCAAGTTGTTTTAACCTGCAATTTCCTAGTGGCAAAGCAAATTCTGTTTTTCTTGATATCAGAAAAAAAAATGCCATTTCCCCCCCTTCTTCAGCACAAGTAAAGAACCCAAGATATTTCAAAAGGCCATTATGATGTGGTTTTTGTTAACWTGTGAACCAGCTACCGGGTCTCAAAAGGTAATTTTACTCAAGCTCAACCACAGTGCACTAGTCTTGTTTTACCTGCCATATGCAAATCGCCTGTCCTTGTGATGATCACCAAAAGTATCCCAAAGCCTGAGAGAAACGCTCACTTCATCAACAACATCTCGGGAACGTTCCAAGACCTGCAGGAAAGAGAGACAGAGTCCACGTGCTCAGTGTTAATCACACACTCCCCCAGAGGAGGGAGTCCAAGTTGACACTTCTCAGGGCCCCTAAACCCACTTGCATTTCGTTTCCTTATTTCATCTACTGGGACTTAAGCCAGCTCCTAACTCAAGTCCTAGAATCACATGACTCACACCCCCATTCAGGTCACCATGGCCATACTCCCAAGTGTGCCCTTTGCTTCTGTTCTCTCTTGTGGCACTAAAAAGTTAGTTTTGTTTTGAATGTGCAGTTTACCCACCCTCCTCCACTAGTTTTAATCTGACTGGCAAACAGCCATGATGGCCTAAGGATCCTAAAGACACCGTGCACCTTACCTCCTGGCAGACACGGTACTGGTCAATGGCCCACACGGTAGGCACGTGGGTGGCCAGCAGCTGATACTGCGTGAGCGTGGTATTACACGCTCTGGCACAGATCAGGCGCGTCTTCCCCACGGCATTGTCGCCCACCACCACACACTTGATGGTTTCCACGTTGGGTCTTTCGTAGTCCATGTCAGTGTCCATTTATGAAGCTCTACAAGAAGAGAGTGAAACTACATTGAAGACTCCAAGGCTTTCCAGAGCACTCCCAGACACTAGAGTTCAGAACAGCTTTGCCTCTGTCCAGCCACGTCCTTGCACGTACACAAGCACAGGCAAGATGTTTGGAAGTTCATACTAAGCCTGATTGAAACCCAAGTTTTCTTTTTATATCTCACACAAGAACAAAAACACCAGACTGCTATTTTGACCCCAAACAGTTTATTCTGGTTAACATGTTATTTTCTCCTTGGTTTTCTCTAAACATAACCTGCCTACTGCAGATCTGTCCAGGCACTGTCAGGACAGCTGGCACACATTTATAGCTCACTAGCTGCTCATGGTGACTGGCTGGTGAGATTGGTCACCTGCAGGCTAACCTTTGATGCTGGAGCCTAAGGTGCCTTGGAGATCCTGGTGTCTGCCCCACCACAATCTTCCAGTTATCCAACATTTTTGAGAAGCAGGTTTCTTTAAGTTCATCATTACTATGGTAACAGAAGAAAATCAAAAGCGCAGATTGAAAAAACTGCCTAACTTTAAAGAAGAGTCTGAATTCTGAGGTTCCAAGCAAATTAACTTCTATTTATTTATATTAATCAAATAAATAATGATATTCTCAAGGTGGCCCACCTAAAAAGCAACAACAACAACAAAATGACCTTCCCCTCTGTATTTTCATCAAGAAATCTAGAGCACATGGTAAAAGATGAGTCACTTTGAGAATGAGAATGAGAGGAGTCACTTTGGAATCTTCCTGAAACTACCAAAGGAAGTCTAAAGAGGATTGCTGGGTGAGGGGTCAAGAGGAAGAGGAGCGGCTGGGGTTGTGGCTCAGTGGTAGAGGGCTCACCGAGCATGCAGGAGGCACTGGGTTTGATCCTCAGCACCACATAAATGTAAAATAATGATATTRTGTCCACCTAAAACTAAAAAATAAATATTTAAAAAAAGAGGAAGAGGAAACACTGCTGCAACTTGGCTTCCCCAGGGTCAAGGCCTTCCACAAACCCAGAGCAGCCTCACTACTGGCAGCAGCTGGGTAGGAGACCAACTTTGGAAGATTTTAAGATTTTAATGAGCTGTAGTTGTCCTTCTGAGGAAGTCTATTATTAAACTGAGAAAACTGGTTAGGTGGTCATGGTAAAGAAACTGTTCGGAGGACAGCCTAATACATAATTGAGACTCAATAAGGCTTTAACTTGATTGATTTGAGAATGATTAATTTGGATKATATGGGTATAGGTGGAGAAATGTAAGGAAGATATTGAGAAGAATACTTTTTCACAGTTAGGGCTGTAAGAAGATGAAATAGTCTCAGGAAGTGAGGATATGGAATTGCCGACAGTAACACCATCACAGGAGGTGTTAAGCCTGAGGCTGGAGAACTTGGCAGGAGTGGGTTCAGGAACAGATGAGTGRTTAGGCTAGGATTTGCTCTGTGTTTCATATGCCATGAAGAGGCTTTTTTTTTTTAAACATCAGAAATTTATTAGTTGTTCAAAACATTACATTGATCTTGACATATCATATATCATACCATGAAGAGGCTTTTATAATAGACACCTGTGCCTTACCTAGCAATGTATATTCTCAACATCTTGGGTGAACAGAATCTTTAAAAAAAATCTCCAATTCTGACAAATCAGCCAGATATAATGACTTCTAAAATTGGTCTTTTTAACATTTTGCCTTAAAACAGTGTTTTTTTTTTTCAYAAAGTGTCCAAAGCATGAATTTTGGCATTAGACCAGTGTTTGTCAGATACTCCCCCCAGGGGATACATACAAAGTCTGGGGACTTTTATGGTTATTAAAATCAGAAGGTGAGGTTAAAAGCTACAGGTTTCTAGAGGGTACCAGCCAAAGATGCTGCTGCTTAACATACTTCATTGCACAGGACAGACCCTACAACCTACCCAAGCCCAAGTGTCGCAGTGCTAAGGTTGAGCAACCCTGACTCAGATGAACATGAGTTTGAATCCTTGCTATCCCACTTCTAGCCAATTGACTTTGGGCAAGTTGTTTGTACATCTGGCCTTCTGCCTCTCCATCTGCTAAATGAAGATTATAATAATATCCATCTCCTAAAGTATTGTGGGGGATGAAGAAAACTTATGCTTTAAGTTCCTGGTGTGGTATTTGGCAAAATAAAAATTCATAATCATGATGTTGAAGATAAACGCCTTTAGAAGACAACAAATTTGAGCCAGGTGGGAAGCCAGAATGAGATGCAAACTCATACACTTAATAATGACAAAGATCTATAAAAAGGATGAATTTTAGAACAGSTCATTCAAGAACAAAATCAAAGAAAAAAAAACACAATATGCAGAATAGTTGACCTTAGGCAAGGAAGACACAAAAAGTTTTGGGTGGGGAGGGGGAGACAGGGAGGAGGTCACAGTAAACCAAAAGATGAAAGAGGTGGAAAATAGATTAAAATATTTTCATGGGGCATTTCTAGATTGCAGAACTAGAATGATAATACTTTTTAACGCTCTTTGACAAGTTTCTGGTGATGTTACCATGGGGTAAGCTAGGATCAGTACGACGGTTTCATCTGGAGCCTCACAGCTTTGAAGCCAAAGGTATATTACTTTCAATGCCCTAAGTACCACCACAATTTAGTCTTTTGAACATGAATTCGACTTTTTTTTAAGATAGATAAACATCAAAGATGGCCAATCCATAAAATTTGAAGGAATGTCTGGATTAAATAAAAATTGAGATAGGACACTGAAATATAGAATTGGTCTTCTTTTCGGACTTGCACACGAGCTCTGACAGCAGCCCCCAAAGAGAAACCCCAAGTGATTTGAATCACCAAAGCAATGGTGCAGAAAAGTTGTGTAGCTTTTACAGCAGACTACTTTGAGAGGGACACAAGTCCTTCAAGTTTATATTAAGGCTATACTTACAAAGACCCTCATTACTTATGGTTAGACAGATTTCATGTACTCCTTTAAAGAATTTCTGTGTCAAAGGTGAGAATAACATCCAAGGGTCTTCTCATTCTTAGCAATCTGCTCATGACTAAAATGAGTCCAAAGGTGCTGAACCCTCTGCATGGGGGTGGCGTGGAGCGAGGAATGAAAGGCAGGGCAAGGTTGAATGTTCTTAGATGTGGAATGCAGATACAGAATTTCTAAGAAGCATTGCTGAATTTCCAAATCCTGAAAATATTTTACTTGGGGTAGAAATCTAAAAAGCATTTAAAGGATGTGAAGTCACAGCCAAGGAGGCAAACTCATTCTACACTTTGTATTGTTGTAAATCTTCATTTATTTGTTTCATGTAAAAAAATAAACTTTAAATTATGGTAGTAATTATAAAAATATGCAATTTTATCCTTCTCCTCTTGTTTTGGGCTCTAATTTATTCATCTCTAGCACTCTTATGGTTGAGTGAGCTCTTAGGACCATCTGGATAATGACTATCTGCTTTCTGATTTTTATTTACCTAGAATGAGAGCAATAAATATTGTGCATTTAAMACAGTTAATAAATTTCACCACCATAAATCCTACTGATTTGTGTGGATACCCTTCTACCTTTAGACATGTACCTGAGGAGACAGGAAAGGTACAAAATAGAAAGTTCCAAAGAACCATCACCGGTAGACTGACAAATCTGACACACAACCAACCTGAACTTCATTTTAGGATGTGGGTGCTACGAGTTAACATTCAGCATGAAGAATCTATCTGCACACTGTCTGAAAGTCAAATGGTCYGATGATGTAAAAATTGGCACGTAAACAAGTCAAAGGAGGCTGGGGAGCGAAAGGCCTGGTAAGGTGGTTCTGGGAGGTCAACATCCGCCAGGCTGACTAGACAGGTGTGGCCATGTCCATCATGGCAACAGGATCCCATCATCAGTTTGATCATCCCATACCTTCCCTGCTCTTGTTACTGACATCTCCTGGACAATCGGCTGCTCCTCCTCATTCACCACCAACTGCATTCTTACTGCCAACACAGGGTGAGGCACTCCACACCTTAGCCTCACAATTTCTCTACCTCTTCAGTTCCAAGATATCAAACCTTTGGACCATGTGTTGGTTACTGCTGTCATTCAGAGACATTTCCCCTGTGGAATATAAAATTACAGAATCCCACTCTCAGAACAAAAATTCCTATCTTCATCACTTGTGCCACATGAAATAAGGCTACTGTAGTGACTCCCTCAGAGACACAATCTATTTCCCTTTCTCTTGAATTTGCACTGACCTGTTGACTGCTTGGTCCAGAAGAATGTGGTGGAGGGGATGCGGTGTGAGTTCCAGAGTGCAGGCCCCACAGGCCCTGCAGTCCCCACCTTTATGCTGTTGGAACACTGCCCTGAGGCTACCAGGCAAGGAAGCTGACCTAGCCTCACAGAGGACGAGAACTCACACTGGAAACAGCCACGGCAGTCCTGCTGACGGCTGTCAYGCAGTGTCAGACCACGTAAGGTCGTTCTGGATTTTCTATTCTTGCTGACCATCCAGTTGAATGTAGCTAGTGAATGAGCCCAGGGGTAACTAACGAGCAAGGGAATGGCCCAGATTCCCACGAACCACACAATCCTGAGAAATAAATCACTGTTATTCTAAGATACCAAGTTTGGGGGGTGGTTAGTTATGCAGCAACAGTTAACAGAAACATGGCCATTAAACCTTAGGAAAAATCTCCAGAACTTTGACTTCTCCATTAAACAAAACAAAACAAAACAAAACAAAAAAACCCCAATATTGGATGACAGGCCCTTCTTGGGTGGATGATCTTTTCCACCCAGGGTTGATGGGTCATGAGAAACTCTTCTCTTTGCTGTCACTGTCAATATCCTTGCACTGCCAGCATAGTAGGCAGAAGCACAGACGCTGGTGCCCTTGTTCTAATCCCTGGCCCCTGGTTGTGTGTTCTTTTCCACAGCACGGGGGAATTAGGAAGGGTTGCAGAAGGAATTAAGATTACTCATCAGCTGATCTTAACATAAGGTGATTATCCTGGATT